TAGAAGTTTCTTATCTAATAGGAAAAACAATGAAACCCCATACAATTGGAGAATCCCTTATCCTTCCTGCAGCAACTAAGATGACATCAATTATGCATGGCGATAAATATGGAAATGAACTAAAAACAATACCATTATCAAGAGATACCGTGTCTCGGCGGATTTCCGAAATGTCACGAAATATCGAGTCAGAAGTCATAAAACGCATACAAAATTCATCTGTATTTGCTTTACAACTGGACGAGACTACCGATATTACTAAAATGTCACAACTAATTATTTACGTTAGGTTTATTTTTAATGAAGATATAACAGAAACGTTTTTATGTTGCAAAAGTTTGGAAGGAAAAACAACTGGAGAAAAAATATTCGAAGTAATAAATGAATATTTTGAAACAAAGTCCCTTACCTGGGCAAACTGTGTTGCGGTTTGTACTGATGGTGCTGCAGCATTAACAGGTTCGAATAAAGGGCTCAGAGGCTTAATTCAGAAGGTGGCGCCTCATATGGTATTTAATCACTGTATGATTCATCGGCAAGCTCTTGTTGCAAAAGATATGGATGAAGAGTTGCACAACATATTACAAGACGCTGTTAGTTCAATTAACTACATTAAATGCAACAGCCGTCTCTTTTCAATACTTTGCAATGAGATGGGCTCAACGTATGAGAGATTACTGTTACACACCGAAGTCAGATGGCTTTCACGTGGGAAAATACTACGACGGATATTTGATTTGAGAAATGAAGTGTACATGTTTTTAATCGAAAAGAAACATAGATTGGCAAGTTATTATATCAATGAAGTTTGGCTAGGGAAGCTGAGCTATTTAGTTGATATTTTCGAAAAACTTAACGACTTAAATTTGAGCTTGCAGGGTGAGAATTCAACTATCATAACTTCAGCCAGTAAAATTCAAGCTTTTAAGAATAAGCTTAGTCTCTGGCAAACTGAACTGAATAAAAACAACACCGACATGTTCCCTTGCTTTAACGATTTTATCAAGGAAAATAATATAGATATATTTACATTTAAAAACATCATTTCCAATCACATTGAAAAGTTAAAGGAAAATTTTTCGAGAAGATTCGAGGATTTTCCTGAAAACGATCTTGGTTGGATTCGTGATCCATTTTCCTTTGACATATGCGGTTCAACTCTTCAAATTAGTGAGAAAGAGCAATTGATAGATCTAATTAGTGATTATACTCTTCGAAATCAATTTAAGACTCAGCCTTGCCAAAAATTTTGGCTATCCATGGAAAAACAATATCCCGTTTTATGCAAGAATGCCATCAGAGTGTTAATAAAAAACAATTTGCATCAACATATTTATGTGAAACTGGATTTAGCAAACTAGTTTCAATAAAAACTAAATACCGCTTGCGTTTAAACCCTGAAGATGATATGCCAATTGCAATTAGCAACATACATCCAAACATCGATGAGATAATTAGAAACTTGAAGCCACATATGTCTCATTAAAGGGCAATTTACTGATTTTTGTGTTATACAAAACATATTTTCTTAAAATTATAAATAAAATTAATATGAGTCAGATATGATGATGTTTTTATTCGATGAAATGAAAGAAATGCACGAAATATACATCGTATTTGTGAACATTTATCTCTAGGGGTCGCCAAAAATTTTCTCTCTACAAAAGGGGTCGCAGTCGAAAAAAGTTTGCACACCACTGATCTAAAGGATCTTTTTATCATATCCCTGTTTCCTTGATGCTCTAAGCATGTGCTTATACTGCTTAATGATTGATATACTTGAGAAATATGCAAAGTTTCTCATTATAAACTAGAGAATTTTATGAAAACACTTTTAATGCTAGAACTGAATGGTTTTTAATATACAAAATTTAACTTATCTCTACTTGCAAAAATGTCAAATTAGAAAAGTGTTCAGTATGCATTCATCAGTTAAATGGAAAATATTCTTTTTGTTAAGGTGCAAAATTTTGTGAGATTTGTTATTGTATTCAATGAAAATATATTATCATTAATTATTCTAATTCTTTTGCATATTAAGTACCAATTTAAGTTGAAGCTGCGTTTTTCGTAAATAATTTAAAAAGATATTGCAAATGCTAAACTTGATGTGTGCATTTTTTAAGTCCATTTTTCAGTTTTTTGTCTTTTACATAATTACTTTTGGGGGGGATTTGGGTTATATATATATATATATATATATATATATATATAATCTTGATCAGCTTAGGCTCTTCTCCATGTTTGGTGTTCTTAACTGTGTCTTAATTTCCTTTTATTGACATAATCTCCTGTTACTCTAAAAGTTAATTCCTGTTTTATTTGGAGAAGGTTGCATGTTTTCATTTCTTCTCTTTCTGAATTGTGTGTACTTCAGTTCTAAATATTTTAACATATTTTTTATATTTTCGTTATTTGATTACATGTCTTTGGTATGCTTGGTTTCCCACGATTCTTCTACTCATGATTTTTTAATACATCTGAATGCTACTTTCCAATTAATGAATGAACATGGTATATTTGTGGAATGTTGGCACTTCAGATCTGTTGGTATAATCAAATCTGTTGGTATAAAAGCCTTCGAGATGTTAATGGTAGAGGAAAGAAGTTGTAAAACCTTATGATCAATCAAAATTAAGATGGAGCTGAAACAGAAAGCTCTAGTGTAATTTTTATTAACAGTGGGACTAAGATATAGTGTACTTTGTGTCTTGTTTTTGGTCTATTACTTCAGTTTTTAATAGTCAGCAAACTAGCTTTTTGGTGAATATCGGAATTGAATATTTCATACCCATACTGTAGAATTTTGATGCATGAAGAACAGCAGATATTTTGTAAGAAAAGAAAATGTCTTTTCATCCATCACCCATTTAAAAAATATTTGAGGTCTGCCCCCCAATCAATCATCTGAAGTCATGAACAGATAATTTATCTGAACTTTAAAAAGAGAAAATTAATGAAAGATTCATAGTTCTTTGAAAGTGAGAAGTTTGGATGAAGTTGAGCGATTTAACAGCCCCCTTTTTGTTTTGTTTTGTTTTGTTTTGTTTAAAAGAGGATTTACTAGGAAGTAATAATCAAGCATTTTAAAAATCATTGCACATTGTCTTTTTTCAATTTTGCTGCCAGTTTCCACTCTCTCATCTCTGAGTGGATCATTAGATCTCCTGGCCTCTCCTCATTTTAAGTGTTTACTTTGGAAAATGTTTCTCAGCAATAAATAAAATTTGTTGAAACTTTGTGCAAATCTCATTCGTCCACTTCTAGTGATTTTCAGCATATTTTTTCTTATTTAATTTTATTTGATCTGAATTATCTTAATCTACTATAGACATTTTTAGAATGTTATTCATCCCATGTTCAATTAGTTGATGTTTGCATTTAGTGTTGTTTTACATCAATGTATATTACATTACTAAATTTATCCACATAATAATATATGCATTATTATTTTCATTGTGTTTAAAAGTAGTATGATAAATTATAGCTCTCTTTTCCCACTCTGGATTATTTCAGATAAAAGTGTAAGAAAATTACTAGAGGGAAATTATCCAAAAAAAGATAAAATTTAGAACATCTGATTAAGTAATGGTATATTTTCAGTATCAGTAACAGTAACCTGAATCATGCTATACCCTTTCTGGCGCAGTGTGTTCGGTGGGAACACACTATTCTCTCTTTAGACACTGAAAATAATCGATAAATGTCGCGTAAACTACACTAATGGTTAATCTTTTTTATGAATACTAGATGGCAGCACCACACAAGCAAATCATTAATGTTGAGATATATTCCGTTTTTAAAGACACTGATTTTTCAAAGAAATGTTTCAGAGTTTTTTTAATATAAAGAATATCAATGAAAAAAATATCTTTGTATAATTTTGGTGTTCGTATGCTAATCTGCCTATTCTGTTTTACTTTTAATTTTTATCTTTGAAATATTGCGTATAGTGAAGCCTTCAGTGTATGGTGTGTTTGGACTGAACACACTGTACTGGTAGTGCATGTCATGTGGGAGTGAGTCACAGAATCTGGTCTCGTGCTTCAAACACTGGGGAGGCTGAGAGCGCAGATTTATTTACATTTGTTTTTCTTTTCTGTTTTTGGTTTTGAAGACCCAGTGCTTTGTTTTCACTTACCTATTTGATTTTCAGCGAGAGAGACCCTTCTTTTTCTCTTGCTTTCATCATGCGTAGTTTGCTTAGTTTTGATTTCTGTAGATATTTATTTGTATATATATTTAATAATTATTTTTTCTAGTCAATAATTAATTGTAAATATTATAGTATTTTAATTATTTTTCTTATAAATTTTAAAATTGTGTAAATGGCTCGGAGAGGCCTCAGCATTGCTGAAGTAAGGAGAGTTTCCTTTTCCCCCTGTTTTTTTTTGGAGGGGTGTAGAGTAGCAGGCTTCCCCATGGTGCACCCTGGGTTATGCTAAATCTTCTACAGAGATCACATTCTACTGTTTTTAAATCATAGACAAAGTATTTTACTGTAATACGTGCTTCACAACAATTATCACCTATTGCAGCTCTTGTGGCTCAGTGTGTTCGCTTCGAACATACCCACAAAATGGAAACGGTTTGTGCAATCTTTGTAAAATTAAACCTGCATACTCTCTTAGGCCTAAATAGACTGCCTACAATTTTTTTGGTAAAATTCCAACTTTAAAGAGTAGTGTGCCGGAAAGGGTTAAAGCCAATTTTAATCAACTTCGAGTTCAACTTTCAATCAGTTTTTTTAAATGGTACTGCCCTGCTGTCTGAAAAACCACCTAGAAACTCCTGTTTCTGGTACTAGAATCTCTTGGTTTTTCATATTTCAAAGTTGGCAGCTGTCAAATTATTATTTATTATTTTTGCACTTTGATGTATTTATTAAAAATGAATAAGTATGGCATCCTGAAATTGAAAATTTAATTTTACATATATAAGATTTAAATTTTTACTTTTACATGAAGTTAATCGTTTGCATATTTTCATAACTCTTGCAGTGATGATGATGCAAGACCAACAAGTTCACATCCTGTTGGAGATAGTCTAAGGTATCCATTTCGATTTCATTTTTGAATTGTGTGCTTTTTATGTAGTTTAAGGAATTGGTGATTTTTTTTACTTGATCTATTACCTGTCATGGCTTACTGCTCAAATTCTATAAACTGATCTTTTGTATTACATTTTTATATTTAAAAAATGCACCTATTAGTTAATGATATATTATGTAATACATTTGATTACTTTCAACAGAGCTTGTGATAGACGTAGTGATAGTTTTCTGTCTTCGCTTGATGATGAAGGTTCATATAGGTATGATGATATAAATAAAGAGGAATCATTATTGACAAATGTAACTCAGCCAAGAGTTAAGAAGAAATTTACTGGTCATCGAAATGCTAGAACAATGGTAAAGCTACTATATTACCTGCCTAGTTTGTGTATAAGATTTTAATTTGTTAATGTTTTCTTTGCCTCTTAAATTTTGAATGCTGTATAGTTTTGTCTGTTTTCACATGAGTGAAAATAGTAAAGTAGAAGATGAATCTCAGTTTTTTATGTACCATTGTTTTCATCAGAGTTATAAAATATATTAAATATTTTACTACTTTTCCTTCTTTTTAAAGTTTTTTCGTTTATCTAATTTAGCAAGCATTTTGTGGGTTTTCTTGTACTCCCCCCCAATTCATTAAATTTTTTATCAGGTTTATCGATCTGTAACTCATTATTAAACTTTTTTAAGGCATATATTCTTTATTGAAGTACAAAGGAAGACCTTCCATTGAATAATTCCTCTCTACTACACGAAACAAAGCTGCCAGCATAATATTTACCCAGTGTCATAACATATTGTGGCTATGTACGCTCAAAGATGATGAGTGCTAGAACAAACATGTTTTTCCGGTAAATTCCTTATTCTGCTGGCCATTGTTAGGTGTGATAAGGCTATAATATGTATTCGTGTTGAATAGACAGTGCTTGTAATATGTTATTATATTCCTTCTTTTCTGATTTAAAAATATATTGAATGAACAAAGCAAATTAAAAAAAATTAAGCTATTATTCCCAAAATACTTGCAAATTTTATGTTATTTTGAATTAATTATATGACAGTATAAATGTGAAAAAAATTGAAGTTTTCTTTTTACTTGTGTTTGACTAGAAGCTTCATATTCAGTTACAGTTTTGTGTTATTTCATTGTGCATTAAATGAATGAAAGTAAGATCTGCACAACTTTATGTGGAACTCTTTCTGATTTTGTGCAAAGTGCAGTTTGCATTTATATCAATAGGAAATTTGTTCTGGTAAAAGTTCTATGGAAGTCACTTTTAGAACAGATTCAAACTCCCCCCCCCCCCCCCAAAAAAAAACACTTTAGTTGTTTGGGTCAAAATATTGTGTTCCTGCAGGAATGTTATTGGAATTTATTCCTTTGCAAGCAGATCTCACAAGCACATATTTTATAACTGAATTTAAGAAAAAAATATGATTTGTCTATAAAAATTCTGAAATTTGGAATACAGCAAAAAGAGCACACATGAAAATGGCAGCATTGCTTGTTAAAACCATGGATGTAGAAATAATGGAGCAGTTATGACCAGCCCTTACTGTAGGGCTCTTTGAAGCCAAACTAATAAAGACTCTCCTTTGTAATTAAACCAAAAAAATTTTAGTCCCACTATTAAAGTACTCTTTAAACTTATCACGGTTAAATTTTAAAAGCAGTGGTTTGCTATAAGCATGACGTAAAGTATTAATAAATTTATGATAGGCAATTATAGGCATGAAATAGCAATGATAGGCATGGAGATGTAATTACAAAGGAACTAGTTATTTTGTACTTCTTAATTAAGGATGGATAATGTAAGTGATTGTAGAAAATTCAAAACAGTATGTATATATAACATTAATAGCTAAAAGTTGAATAATAAAAAATGTTGATAATTTTTTTTTTTTTTTTTTTTTTTCAGAAATCTTCCATCTGGTAAATAACCAGGAACAAAAATTGAATAAAATAATATACTGATTTCTGGATAAAATAATAAAACTTCTAATAGTATCATCTGTACTCACTGAAAAAGTCATAATAAATAGTATTGATTTATAATGAAAATTAAAATTGTATCAGAAATTCAAAGAATTATGCAGTGTAAAATTCGAAATCCAGACATCCAATATCCAGATCTCCAGACCACCAATAAATAAATAAAATTAAAATAACAGGAAAAATTTCATCTCCTTTGCTTACAAAGGTTAGGAATTGGAAATATAATACTGAGCAAAAGAAGGCAGGCATGTCATTAATGCCATTTTTCTCCCCACTAACTAACATTTTCTCTGGGAATTTCAATGTCAAACACTTGCTGGCAAGGGAGTGGGACGATGGCCAATGACAATGAATTGATTGACATTTTGATGTTGGCCAGAGTAAAGGTTTTGGGGCTTGAGTGGCTGTGCGGGGATTAGCATTTTTCTATATGACGTAAACGATAAGTAAAGCCCCAACATTACCATGCCTACATGTCATTTTACTATCGTTTTTCCCAAAAAATAAGACCTGGTCTTGCATTAATTTTTGCTGCAAAAGACATGATAGGGCTTATTTTCAGGGACTATCTTATTTATTATGCACAATAATTTAACATTTATTCATTTCAAGAAATACATTTATTCAGGTTCTAAAAATACATTTATTCAGGTTCAAGAAACATTAAAAAATTAACAGAATCATTTATTCTAATACAGCCGTGTTGTCTTCTGTAAAGCTTTAAATGAAAAAATTTGGCCTGAATTTTTTGTGACTTCATTTCTTTTCCCAAGCATGATGAGCAATATTCTCCTCAAATAAGCTCTTTGTCTGTGTAGCCTGCTCGTAGGGCATTGACTAGACAGCTGACTATTATTTCATCTGATGCATTCTTCTTTCAAGTAAGAACTTCTTGTAGCTTTCTTTGTTAATTTCTTTGCATTCTACTCTCAATCTAGTCATTGATTTTCATACAAAAATAGTCTTTTAAATGGCTTGTTTGTTGCAAAATCAAGAGTTTGGAGGTGTGCAATCATTTCTGTGGGAATTATTATTTGATCGATTCTTCTTTTTGCAGGGAAGTTCTTCAGGGTTTTACCACTGTGAGTGCTGGCAGAATTCCACATTAGCATACTTCTTTGGCCAAATCACAAAACAAGTGATAAAAATATATCGGCCCTCTTTATTGCTGCTTGTGTGCACTAAGTTTTTTCAGTCTCAAGAACATAAATACCTGAAACATGTTTGATTTCCTCTTTCTTGCCCTTAAACATGATTAGAGGGGGATCTTCTTTCCATCAAGACAAATTGCCAAAAAAGTGTGTCTTTTGTATTTTAGTAACCAATGGAAGGGAACATCAATATGTCGCAGAGTCATAATCTGATCAATAGTAGTTTGAGACCCCTTTAACCATAAACACTGCAATTTCATCCATAGCAATTATGTTTGAGAGTTGATACTTCAAGAAGTTGATGCCATCAACGAAACAATTTAATGCAAGTACGTGCTTAAGCACTTCAGTATCTTCCAGTTTGAAAAGTGTTGTCAATCTTCTTAGAGACAGTTCATATCACTGAATGAAGCCATCCACTAGTATTTTGATGCTTTGAATTTGTTTGGCAATATGTCTAGCTGTGGTGGAATTGCAAGAGTAGATGCTTGAGCAGCCCTGCGAACAACCAAACACTTTGCTCGTCTGTCAGCAATCCATTCACAGATGATGTTTCAAATGTGTCTCTGTGTTGCATTTGCATTTGGTCATTCAGCTGTATTCCTTCTTCTGTTTGATTATATTTGGCTAATATATGTAAAATTTTTTCTCCTGTTAACGGAACTAATTAATGAAATGTGTGCCTTACTTATTATTATTATTAATTTTATTTATTTATTTTTATTTTATTTATTTATTTATTTTTTACTTTTGCTACAGCTATTTACACCAATATATATTCTGAACCTTAGATATTTTCCTGTATCTAAATTTTAAGTAAATATATTGCTCTTTTATAATAAAAATAAATCGCATTCTATTGATATTCCTAAAGAAACTTTATTTTTTTCTTAACAATTTAATAGCTTTCTTAGAAATGTAAAAATTAAATTTAAAAAAGGTTAAATTAAAAGGTTGTAAAATAAGGGTAATTATATACAATCCTGAAAATTATTTAAATAAACTATTAAAAATAACATTTTTAGGACACTTTCTAGCTTAAGAAATTATAGCAATGAATTTAAAAGATACTAATTTTCAGCCTCAAAACATATTTTATGATGATCAGCTAGTGATTAACATGTAACGTAAACATTATTTGATTTTGCCTATTTATAAAAACATTAATTTTAATTAATTTTACATGTATGAAATTGCTCATTTTCATTTTGAAAAACAAAATCCTTTAAATAATCATAATTTAACTATACTGTGCAACCATTAAATAGTTTTAAAAAAATATTTAATAGCATAACATTCATTATGTTCAGCATTATCTTATTTCAGATGTAAACTGTAAACAGTGTTTTCAATACAAAAATTATCATACATTCAAATTTTAACATAAAAGAAAGCAAAAACAGTGTGAATGGTAAGGAAAATGTGAATTACTTAATGTGTAAAAAATTCGAATATTGTCAAGAGTATTATTGACTGATTATAACAAGGGGACTGGCACGGGCTGATAAGTGGGATGAAAATTGTCTTGTTTCTTGCTTCAGATTTCGGGCATGATGTCCACTCCATAAATTTCTATGATTATAACTGAAAAATTGTTGCATGCATGGTTGTCAAAATTTAGCACATTCTAAAAATTAGGGCTTTTTATTAAGTATTCCAAATGAACTGTTAAAAATTTTAAAAACTGGCCTTTTTGAAATTTTGTATTAAATCTATACTAAGATATAAACATCATTAAAATAAATGTATTGGTATTTTTTTCTGTAGAATTTTGTAGTCAAAGTCTCCAAACTTCTAGAATACACCAGACTCTGGTAATGGTGTACATAACAGTTCTTTAGTGTTAACGAGCAACATTGCCATTTTTATATGCGTTCTTTCTCCTATATTGTAAATTTCACAATTTGTATGAACAAATCATGATTATTTTTTGTTTTACATTCAATTTTAAAATATGTATTTAGATGGATGTACTACGGATTAAATTATTTGATTATGGCAAATCATATGAAGGCTGTGTGCTTAAGGGGAAGAATACTTTCATGTCTTTTTCTTTTAGAGGAAACTAGCTTGTATTCACATCACACGTGGAAATCAACCATGAAGCTAGCCCATTCGCCTGGGTTAGACCGCAGGTCGAACTACCAGTATTCAGTGGTTGTAATCACTCAGGCTTTGGTTAGGCCTGTAGCTGTAATATTAATGTATTATGTACCAAATATATGATTATTTTATAATTGATAATTATAAAAATTTTGTGTGTTTATATTTTCAGATAAAAGAAGCAACATTTTGGGGTGATAATTTTATTATGAGTGGTTCAGACTGTGGTCATATCTTTATATGGGACAGACATACAGCTGAATTGGTAATGCTAATGGAAGCTGATCACCATGTTGTAAACTGTTTGCAACCACATCCGTTTGATCCTAGTGAGTACTCTTGTGCACTTTGGTGTTTTGTGCAATATTTTTCTATTTTTATTGCAAGGGAAAAAATATATGTTCTCCAAAATTTTAAGTAAAAGTGTCAAAATTCTTTATTATGTATACATCATATAAACTCGTTTATAACTCTCTCATAAAATAACTCATATAAAATAACAGTTATAAAATGTTCCATGTATTGTAAATTTTTTGTACAAAAGCATCTCTTAGTATGTAGCAAAATTACTTTCACATCATGGAATATGTTAATAAGAGTACCATATTATTTTTGAAATTAGGTGTTCTAATAATATTTAAAAATGACAAATAATTTCATAGGTATTGAACTGATGCTCTATTCTTTTTACATTTGTTCATGCAAGTCTTGAAACCGCTGAATAATAGTTCAGTGTTTCATAACTGTTTGCCAGAAACAATTAAGAAGCTTGGTGTTGTAAAGTAATTTTACAGATATTATTGTATTTTAATTTTAAAAAATCTGAGAGTTTTTAAAGTAATTAGATTTATCTCTTAAATTTGTGATGTGCTAATTTTTTTTTTTTTTTTTTTTTTTTTTTTTTTTTTGTTTGTTTGTTTAGTTCTTGCTTCTAGTGGTATTGATTATGACATTAAACTTTGGGCTCCTTTAAGAGAAGAACCTTTCTTTGATGTTGAAAAAGCTAATGAGGTAAAGTAGCTTTTCTTGCTTGTAAACAAATATAGAATTTGGATATATACTAAAAATTTTATTTGATTTCACTTTGTTCTTAACACAAACCATTTGCTTGTTATATATGCAGGATTTTAAAATTTTAAGAATTTTTAATGCAAAAAAATACTCAGTAACAAAGACATGTCATTATTGTATTTACTCAATATCTCTTTTATATTTTACTTATTGAAGATAGAGGTATATTATATTTGTGTACCATTTCTGAATAGAGACTTAAATGAAGAATGAATATGAATAGACATTATGCATGAATAGATGCACGAGTATAACCATTAGTGTATTTTCAATACTGTTTTTCCTTTCCACAATTTTTTGACTATCTGTCCCCTGGACTCTGAATAAAAGCAAAATTTTGAGAAAGTTTCATAACTTCTTCTTTTTCTAAGGTGTTACGGAGAAAAAAAATTAAATCATAATTCATTGAAACTGATAAAATGTAGTAGTGTATTTGATTATTACATAAAATGTAGGAAAATATGTGAAACAGCAATAATTCAACAAAGAGTATTAATTTGTGGCCTAGATATTTAAAAAACAAGCAAAAGTATTATTATTAAACATTCATATGGCTGCACGAATTAACTTGAATCTATGAAATCATAAACCATGATTAAGAAAAATGGTGAATTTCAACTTCATTGCTAGAATTAACTTCATAGCTAGGATTATTTATTTCCTCATTATGCATTTATCATGGATATGTGGCTTCATAGGTCACAACATATTTGTTGAACTTGTTTATATAAATGGAATCTTATAAAATTTATTCAACATCAGAAAGTCACAAAGCAATTTAAATAAATTTCCTGATTTATAATTATATTTATATATTATTATTTTTTTTTTTTTTTTTTTTTTTCAGATTATTAAGCGCAATGAAATAATGTTGGAAGAAACGAAAGATACGATTACTGTTCCTGCGTCTTTCATGTTTCGCATGCTTGCTACTTTAAATCACTTTAGAACTAGTGAGTCTAATAAAGTTTTTTTAATGTTTCATGCCACATATAATATAAGTTATCAATTGTTGTTGAATATATTATAATACATCTTTAAGTTTTTGTCATACTAATGCTGAAATGTTAATTTTGTTTATAAAGGTAAATATTTTTTTTGGGGGGGTAAATAATAAATAGTTCTAAATGTTACTGAAATAAATATTTGGACATTAGGAGTGCATAATGAATGAAGTAACAACAGGATGTGGTTATGAGAAGTTTCATGCTGTTCATTTGTCCACCATGGAATCTCTTTTGGTGGACCATCTCCTGTGAAAACCATCTCTGAAAATGAGCTACAATTCTTAAAACTCATAAGCTTTGGTGTAGAATAATATTTTTTGAAACTGACCCTCCAAGAAGGCATTCTCATTGTGTGTATGATTAAATAAAAAGCTATTACATAATAAATAAAAAGCCAATTAAATATACAGGCAGATTCTATGATCATGGGACAGACTTGGAGGGGTGGTTGAATGTAATAAAACGTATTTTTTGTATAGGAATGTAGGGTCTAAAGTGCCATATTAAGGCATGAATGCAAAAAATGACATGGAGGCATGTGTTTATTTACAAAATCAGGGCAAAGTGCTGCTTAGCAGCAAAACAGTATTCACAAGAAGTGTTCAAAATTTCAGCTGCTAACAGTAATATGAACTGCAGCTGTGACTTGCTGGCAATGCAGTGGGTGGAGGGCAGTAGTGAGCCGCGCAACCACAAACCGATGCATCAGCTGAAGAATGTCATTTGTAACTGGGGTTCCAATCGTGATGTGTGAATTTATGCATAGTGAAAAGACTGACATGCATATAATGTATGACACTGCTAATGACAATGGCAGAGCAGTGGTACGATTGTACCAGGAATGGTCTCTAAACAGACGTATGCCAAGGCACACAATCTTTGAGAGGTTGCATCAGTCCCTGTGTCAAACTGGTTCATTTGCTGCCAACTCTGACAGTAGGAGGGGAACAAGCACTGTGTGACAACCTGGCATGAAAGAATCCGTATTGAGCATTTGTGATGAAACAAAGTACAAGAGCTATTGCATGTGAGTCAGTCCAACATTTGGAAATTATTACATGAAAATCGTTTGTACCCATACCATCTGAAGAGAGTCTAAGCCTTGCAAGCAACAGATTATCCTCTGTGTATTGTTTTATGTTTTTTGTTCTTGCATCAGTGTTCAGTGGAGCCAGATTTTTCATCATATGTGCTGTTCATGAATGAAGCAACTTTCACACTGGAAGGCATCAGTATGCACAATAGTCATGTGTAGGCAACTGATAATCCACACACCACACATCCACATGCGTTCCAAATCCTCTTTCCTGTGAATTTGTGGGTGGGTATTGTTAACAAGTACCTCATAGGCCCATACCTCCCACCTGCACACCTCAGTGGCTCGCATTAAAGTATTTTCCGCGAGAGGTTAACGAAATTGCTTCAGGGTGTTTTGGCTATCATTCATGATTGCATCTGTTTCCAGCATGATGGGGCACCAGTCCATTATGACCTGTTTGTTCAGAATACATTGGATGCAAATTTTGCGGGGCAATAGATTGGGCGTTGTGCACCAGTCACTAAAGAATTTAATTCCTTAAATACTGATCCTAAATATATGCTTTCAGTTGCAGACTTCCTTGAAGTGAAGTAGAAAATTTCATTAGAACTATTTCAGCTTTTGAAATAAAACATTTTTGTAAATACAAAATTCAATTTTTATACAGTCTGCTTCTTAGAGAAAGTCAGTAAGACATTCGTTAATTCTTAATGTTAGACATTTAAGCATAATAAATATTTTTAAAAGAAATTATACATCCAATTTTCTGTACCTTTATGTGGAAAATTTGTGATCATATTACAAAATAAATTTACAAACTTGGTTCAATTTTCAACATATATTTTTGATCAAAGTTGAATATTCCCTGAAACTCTAAATTGCTATTAAATAAAGAAGACTTATAAAATAATAAAAGAAAGCTAACTCTTCTTGGTGATTAATTATTTCATTGTTGTGTAAAAGAACACGAGTTATTAATTTTATAGCTGACCCCCAAAAGGTATTAATTACTAATATTTTGTTGAAATTTACATGTACAAATATGGGACTTTCTTCTTTTGATTTTTAAAAACGTTATGTTGACTGAATTTTTTACTGTTTCAAGGCTTATATAGAAAAATTAAATTTCATATTTGTATGACTGTTTTAACCCCATTGCTCAAGTAATTCTCAGAAAATTATGTATTTTATTTTGTAAAACTTGGTAAATTGGAAATCATTATATAAAGGAAACTTATAGTAACAGTCTTTTGAAATACTGTAATGAAGATGATTCAAATGAAAGTGAGTGCAAGTGATTATGGTATTACTAAAGCCGAAGTTTTAACTAATTTTCTCCTATTTACTGAAAGTTTTTAAACTTATAAAAACATTTAGTATTTTTTATGAATGAAATCTTGGTACAAACAACTGAGCAAGTGTTTTGTCTAATTGTTTTGATAAACTCTGAAAACGGTCAAATAGGGAAATGATCTCAAACTGGTGGCCTACAAGTAATATTTTCCATAAAGTAATTAGCATTATTATTACAAGAATTTTAAGAAAAAGTCTGAGATTTTGAATGGTTTTGAACCCAATTTTCCACTACCTTCATTACTAAAAATGAATGGGAGAAACGTTCTGAAAATCTGGAAATAGAGGTAGTTGATTTTCTTTGGGATATAAATCTTACTCAAAGATATGAAGATATAGATTTGATTAACTGTCATTATTACTTGTCAAAAAATAAATATCATCAGTTACAAATTTTTGCAATAAGAATAATCCCTTTATTGGGAAATACATTTACTTGAGAACAGTTTTTCCCCCATATGATAATTAATGAGTCAACAGAAAGAACTAAATTGCAAGTGAGTATCTACAGATTGGTGATGAATATACTTTCCAGTAATTTCTCTCCAGGATTATAGATGTTATGAAAATCAGAATGCCATGTAGTGTAGGTGAGAGGTGTAGTAAAAGACAAAGAATTTATATTTACATATAAATATGGCTTTTTTTTTTTTTTTTTTTTTTTTTTTTTTTTTTGTATGCATCATAGAAAAAGGGAATAGTTGGTCATTATTTATTCTCATGTTTTTGTCTCTCTTGGGACTTTTTTGTATAGTTCTTTCTAGTTTAAATTAAAAGTAAGTTATTTAGTGGTTATTTCAGATATAATGATAATCTGAGTGAATGTGAATCTGAAAATTTTAATGTTTGACGATCAGAATGTTTGAATTACAATAATAGTCACAAATAAAAGTTTCTTGCAGATACCAAACTGCAGACTTCAGGCAAAACATTAAGTATAAATTTGAAATTTTGTCTTAGCGTCATTTTTATAGGCATTTTTTGACAGTTTTTTTTTTCTAATTTTTTTAGTTTTGTTGCCGCTTATCAACTACTTTCAGATCGTACATATTTCCCAGGTGCAATTTGTGTTTCAAACCACTGATAGAGGACGCAACATTTTTTTGTTAATGGGTCTAATAAATAACAAAAGATCTCTGACATCTAAAACCTTAAACCAACTCGACATTCCATGGCGGTCTTACTGGACTTGTTTAAGGCCCTTGATACTGTCTGGAAGGACAAACTTATTGTTAAAATCCACGACACATTCAACATTAGGGGTTTTGCCTTGGTTTGGATAGCTGACTTTTTGTACCAGAAATCCATTAAAGTTAACAAGACCTACTCGGATCCCTTTAGAATAGGATAACGCATTCCTCAGGGATCAGTCTTAGCCTTACTCTATTCTCCCTCTTTTTGGCCGGTGTAGAAAAAAGGACACCAAAACTTGTTGATATTGCTATCTTTGCTGACGATTTCTTTGGCATTCAAGCACAGATGTGAGTAACATTGAAATGATCCTTAACACCACTTTGGTAGCACTCTCTGAGTTTGCATCAGAACATAAATTGACTTTCAATCCAGCTAAATCAATAGTGACCTTTTTTACTACTAATAAACGCCTGTATAACTTACAAACCAAAGTTGTATTTCAAAGCTCAGCCCCTCACGTATGAAAAACATCCCAAATACCTAGGATTCATTCTTGATCCTGAATTGAATACCAACAGACACATAGACTTTTTGGTTTCAAAGGCCCGTAAATACTTAAACATCTTTAAATATCTAGCTGGCAGGGATTGGGGAACTGATGCAAACACTCATAGAACCACATATATTGCACTCATAAGACCTATTCTAGAATATGGCTACAGAATTTTTTCCTGCACGTCTGAAACCAATCTTCTGAAATTAGAACAAATAAAACTGAGTGCCGTTCGAATTATTCTTGGACTCAGAAATAGCTGCCTTTCTGGTATAGCCTTGTTCGAAACCAACGTACAGCATCTGTATATTAAAAGAAGAGCCAATTTAGTTAAGTATTTCAATCACATCTACAGCTACGGCCCCCAACATTGTACTTTGTTGTATTTCCATGCTTGGCACAACAATCAGTCTCAAGAAATACAACCCTTTTAGCTTGGCAGAAACTCAGAACCTGATGTCTCGGGAGCTTGTACCTCTAAGATCCTTTATTGATCCCTCAGTGGGATTACCAAGAGTTTTCTTCCACTTTGATCTGAAATCCACTGCAAACAAGCAAACTCATCATAAAGATCTTATTAGGCAGCTGGGCATTAAATTAGGCAGCTGGATCTAGAAATTATTAGTTGCATTCCTAAAGATTCAGTACAGGTCTATACTGATGGTAGTCGTACTGAGGATCATACAGGCAGTGGTATCTTTATTAAGACCCCTCACTTTGAAACTACAATAAAGCAACGCAACCCTGATACTTGCTCTGTCTTCAGGAGCGAGTTAACTATGATTAATGTGGGGCTTGAAGCCATCTTAGCTTATGATAGGGATTTTGGGAAACTATGAATTTTATCGGACAGCCGCAGTACACTACAACGTCTTAGTGGCTGGTCATCTGTATGTGACGAAACCAGCATACCTATTCTGCTCAAAAGTGAGGAAGATCTCTCAGACTCATGACGTCCACCTCCAGTGGATCCCTTCACATGTTAATATTAGTGGTAATGAGGTCGCTGATAAACTGGAAAAAAGAGGGTGTAGAAAATGAAACAGTCACTTACTAACCAAGAACTTTACTCAAATGAAAGATCTAAACTTAATTTAATATGGCGTATTCCACCTATGTACCAATGGTATACAGGAACATCCCCTGGTTCCCTACTGGAAATCAATGTGACCGTGGCTCCCAGACTGCTCTGGCTAGACTAACAAGTGGCCACTTTGAATGTCTTTCCTTTGATAGTGGCAGAAAAATCCACCCCGCTTTGTAAAAAATGCTGTGACCATCCATCTTCACTGGATTGCATCAGACTTTCTAAGGAGGACTAACAATCCAATCCCTTCACTGTTATTGATTTTTTGAGGTTCAAAAACCTTCTTGAGCTGATCTGACATATAATACATCTCTCAAGGATAAGAACAACAGCAACAATAAATAATAAGCGAATACGGTTAAGATTAGCAAAAAATACAGGCTCACATTTCTATAGTATCATTGATGTAGAGAATATGAATTTGTAAGGATTATTGTTATCAGAAAGCGTATTCTTATTTTTAGTAGTTATTTTACAATACTTTTTTTAAATATTTATTTAATTTTATTTTTATAAATATAGTAATCTTATATTTTATTTTGTGTAACATTTTTTCTGCTCGAACATTTATTTAATTTTGTATTCATAGTATTATTTGTTTTCTATATGCATTTTTTATTTATTTATGTTAGCAATAATAGTTTATGCTTTAATCATAATTATTTTATTTTTAAATACTTAACAAGATGTCATAAATGGCTATTTTTAAACAGTAGTGTAGACTAAATTTTATAGGTATTTTTGTAATTATTTGATATTTTCATTGATTTTTAATATTTTTTAGAAATTATTATATCATTTTACTAGATAATGATTTTTAATTTTCTTAATGAAATGCATTCAAATTAAATATTTCAATTTGTCTTTTTTAGGGCGTTCTTATAGATGGAGTCGTGCAGCTCGTGAAATGCGATCTGCCAATGCAGACTCAAGTACTCGATAATAAAATCAAGAGTTAATGGACATGATATTCGAGCGTTTTAATTTATTAATTAGGTTGTTTATGTTTATACTATGAGAGTTCTTTGTTGATTAGTTGTTATGCTGCTCAATTTGTTCTGCATTTATAAGCATGTGCAAGTAGATTTTAAGTGATGTGGAGAACTTTGAAATTATTTATCTTATGTTCCCGATTGCAGTGTGCATTTACGCATGATGAAATACTTGTTTGGTATGTGAGCATAAGATTTTGTTTTTTTTTAAGAAATTCTTTAGATATGCTCATTTTGAAAAATATTGCGTTTTTCTTATGTTCAAAACATTACAGTATCATAGCCAAAAAGTAGGTTTTCAATTTCAACAACTTATTTTCCTTAGTATGTTGTTTATTTAAATGTGGTAGTTTTATATATTTTATTTATTTATTATATCAAAGCTATTAATTTAATGATAATATTTATATCATTCTTTAATGAAAATATATAGGTGCTACATTTTCAACATTATTAGGCCATAATGAAATTAGTTTTTCTTGCCTACAAATGTCTATAGAAAATTCAAATTGATAATTATACCTATTAAAAATATTTTGTTTGCTTATGTAATTAAGATAATTACATAATTCAAATCATTTTATATATTTCTCTGCTTTATGCTTTCAGGTTTGTGTAGATAATTTCTTTCATGTATATACTGAAAGAAAATTTTTAAATATAGTGGAACTGTGTTAAAATATTTTAAAAACAATTTTTAACTGATACAGTTATATGTTGAATAACAAATTGTAAATAAGTAGTTGTTCTTTGTAATTTAAGGTTTTGCACTAAAATATAGATTGCAAGCCAAATAATCAAGAAATTTAAACTTTGTCAATTTAAATAAATTGTATATATTAAATAGTGCAATTATTTGAATTTTATGTATTTATGAGCTATATTATTATATATTTATGGCCTGATTTTTAATTTTATGGGAACTGTGTTCTGATAGCTATAATTTGCATGCTCTTGACATTAATTTTGCTAACTTATTTTTAAAAATATTTTATAAAATAAATGAGAGAAGAAAATTTTTCCATAAAACTGCATTATTCTCTAAGAAAATAAGGATAATGATTTTTTTTCTGCGTTCATTTCTTTATATTTCCCTTGTTATGCCATTTAATGAATATTTCAATGTATAGTTTTTGAAAGAACATGATTTATGCTCTTATGTTAGTATCTTACTAGGCTTTTATTAATAATAGTTTCTGAAGTAATATAACATAGGAAGGCATTTGTTTTCTTTGCTTTTAAGTAATAATTTAAAATGGGTAGGAAAATCACTTTCTAAAGAGAAAAATTTTTTAACCTGTCTTTATTTGTGATAATAAATATTATCATTCTTAATTACCAGTTCTATTGAATGTTGTCATTCTGCCAAATGAGCAATATTTTTTTTAACTGTTCATAATAATTTTACCTTTATTAAATATTGGCTTTATTCTTTTATCAATAAGATTTTAATTTTTGCTTTCACATTTCAAAATAATAATACCTAATTGATTCATACATATAATGGTAAGCGTGTATTTTTATAAAACCATGTCGGTTTATCAACAATAAATGCTTTTAAATTAAAAATGTCTTCATCTTATGACATGAGAAATAACTGTTAAATTTTGCTAATGAATAATACTGGCACTTGACTTACTAAAATAAAAATGTTTAAATAAAGGTTGATTGTAAATTATGATAAAATAGACTAGGTATATTGAATAAGTTGAAATCTTGAGAAATCTAAATTTTCTGTTGGGTATTTTAGTAATCTATTTTGCATATTATTATAGGTTCTACATAAACCATAACAGTTACAGAATTTGATTTATATTATAGGTTCTTTAGAACCGATAACAATTGCATCGCAAACATGTCTCATGTCTAGTGGGAAAAAACTATTTGCTGAATTATTATATACTTAAATGTTTCCAAAGAAAAATAGTACATAAATTGATTGGAAGTGCTAGACAAAGGGCTACATTTAATTTTAATACTGCATTAAAAATCAGTAGATCATTACTAAATATTAGTAACATTATTAAATACATGAACATTAATTGTTATTTTTTGGAATTTGTGCTTATAAGTATTAATATATGTAGATATATGACTGAGATCAACGTATTTTCGCAACCACCTTAGCACAGTTTGGCGAATTTTACAAATGAAAGAGAACAATTATTTTTATTGAAAAAAATATATATTGCATGCATATATATTTTATGTTTCACCTATGTATTTATTCCAAAAAAAAATTGGTAAGCCTAGTTACAAAAAGGATTTTTGTTGTAGTGGAAATTTCATAATGATCACTCTGAGAAAAGATTTGAAGCAATGTATCTTTAGCGGTTTTCAGCAAAATACTGTGTTCCTGTTAAGTTTCGCCTCTGTTTCTTTTATCATAAGAAAATCCCACAGATATAAATTTGGAAATTGACTTTAAGACAAAAAATAATTATAATTTTTTTATAAAAGCTGTTAGAACTTGGAATACAACAAAAAGAATGTATACAGAAATGGCGTCTTTGGAAACTGAATATTTGTCATGTGCATAGTTGCTTGAATAATTTTTATGCCCTGTTTTACTAAAGTGTAATCTAAAAGTTTGGCGATTTCTGCTAAGGTGGTTGCATAAGTACCTAAACTTTAATAGATATGACTAAGAAGTACAGTCTATACAAGCAGAATAAACATTATTAAAAGATTTCTTTTTTAAGGGAAAGGGTGGTAGTATTAAGTTTTATAAGAAACAGTGTGCTATAAACCTTCAAAATAGAGTATTGAAAACAGAGGATCTTATTAATTATTTTTAAACATATTTTTTTTCTTAAATACACTGAGCATTTTCCATTAATTTAAATATCTCATTTTTTTAATAATCATGCTGAATTTGAGAATTTTTTAGGAGGGAAAACATTTATATTATCGCCTCCCCTTTTTTTGCTGTGTACAAATATTTTAATGAGATAATTTGATAATAATGTTGAAATATTTCAAAGCATATTATAAAGAGCCTTTTTGGGCACTGATATGTATTAAAAAAAAGCTTCTTACAATGAAAAGTATACAGCTCAGAAATATTCTGTGTATATTTCATGTTTCCATGGGTGATAATGATGTATAGTAAAACTAACAAAATAATTATTTTGCACTGTATTGAAATGATGCATTAAGGGCAGTGATGGCGAACCTCTGACATGTAAGTCAATAATGACAGACTTTTATTTTAGGATGACATACCAGCATTTATTAATACTCAACAACAGCATACTTCTTCACATTCTCAGAGTTTATTTTAGGTTTTACGATCATATGAAGACGGATAGTTGTAATAACTTTGTTGCTTTATTTCAGTTCAAAAACTTTTAGCACCTTCTACAATTCCCTTATTCATATTCTTGGAAAACTTTCTTCTTGGTATTCTACTTCATTGTAATAAAACAAAAGAAAATTGGCTAATTGATAAAAGTAGATCACTTTTTTTGCTTACGCTTGGAGTATATAAAGTACCTACTTCCAACTTTAGACAAATTTTAAACTCGATTACTACTGTATACATTGTTTCCTAATTGTGAATTATTGATTTTTTTCAGTTTTTCTGAATTTCAGTTCTACATAGTGACAGTTTTCCCCCTGTTTGATTAATATGTGCTGTTTGCAATTATTCTTAATAATGAATCTTTTTTCATTCTGAGTATATTTTCATTTTTGTAATTGCTTAATGTTGTAATTTATAAAAACCACACATGATTAAACTGTATTTTTTCAATAAATTAATGTGTAAAAAATTATTTCTCTCTTGTTTGGGATATATCAGCATGGATGACTTGGACATTTTTTACTAACTAATTCCTGACATAACTAAAAGGTTTGCCATCATTGCATCAAGGTTCATCCGTATCAGAACATAAATATCATAGAAATTCAGAATGTGTGTGTAAGTATATTGAACTTAAAATATGATTGCAATGGAAATTGCTTGACCTTAAAAATTATTTTCATAATAATTGTAAATACATTACCCTGGAAAATTATAAAAACAATTTTTTTCATAAATATCATCAGCAACAAAATGTGTAAAAGTGCTGGAAGTTTGCATGTTGAAAAATTTGTCACTGTCTGAAACATAGTTGAGTTTACAAACTCCATTTAAATTATTTATTTATGTTTTCATTTAAGGTTAAAAAACTTAATAGTATCTATTATTTATTTATTTATTTATTTATTTTTTGTTTTTATATAGCCATGGATGACATTTTTCCCCTTTCTAGAGAATTTGGGTTAGATGTATAAGAATTTTGAAAGTATTAAAAATTTTTTCCTGATTTTAAAATATCTATAAATATTTTTAAAGTAGTTGAAATTGCTCATGTATCAGAAATGTCTAATGAGAGATGCAGCATGAAATTTTTTAGATATGCTGGTTCAACCGATTAACAGTTCACTATAAGTTGAAATATTAATGTAAAATATATATTAGTAAGACTCAAACAAACTGGCAGATTTTAAATTAAAAGTGAGAAAGAGTGTTAGAGGTAAATGACTAAATGTAGTGTTGGGTGTCTGAAAAAAAAGCTTGTAAATAAATGATTTTTTTTTTTTTTTTTCCTTGATCTACTAAAGCTGTTTGCACATTTTTTAGACTATTTTATTTGTAGTTACAGAAATATTTTTATATTTTAAGTGTTCTGTTTGATAACACTTATTTTTCACTATCTTTATACACCATAATTTCTAAGGTAGTAAAATCTTTTATAGTATCAGAAGAGGTATTTTATCCCATTGCTCTCAAACAGCTTTCCAAAGTCTAAGGAGATTGTAGGTCGATGTTTGAAAAACCTGCTTTTTAAACGTCCAAAAGCATAAAAATGCATTGGTGATATATCAGAAGATTGAGTAGAGATATTATTGAAGGATATGGATTTGATATCCATTTCTTGTTCCATTTTTTCCAGGAAATTAATGGTGGATTTTGACATGTGGTTGTTTGCTTTGTCTTGATGCAGTTCTACTGATTGTTGGCACTGTGGGTAGAGAGAAGGTATTTCATGTTTGAAAATAGGATATAAAATATATTCTTGATAATAATATGTGTAGTTGACATTAACAGACTTTTGCACTCTCTTTAATTTTTGTTTGTCCTTATATCAAAAACCAGCAACAATTATATAAATCCCTTTGAACAACTTTCTTTAGATTCTTTGAACTATGTTCTAAGATTTTTTTTTTTTTTTTTCCTGCTCTTTGATGATAATAAATGGATCATTTTTTTGTTGCAGTCATTTAAGTATATCCAAGAATCATCTATTGTGACAACATTTTTCTACTTGTGTCCGAATAATTGTTTCTCATAGAGAATTCTGCAGCGCGTTCTTTGTTCGGTGATTTTGTCATGGAGGAAGAGGATGTGCATTATGTTTTTTCACCGTTTTAAGATTCAAATCGGCATTAACCTTTTTGTTTACAGTTGGCACTTAGCATTTTAATGATTTTGCAACTGTCCTGTCACTTCACAGATTTTCATTTAACATTAAAGTTCTTGCTTTTGCAACATTCGAAACATTCTTTTTTTTCCCTTGGGTACTTGCTCTCTAGAGACAAATTTTTCCACTTGAATCCAATTTTTTTTTCTTTTGCTGTTGTAGCTTTAGATATAAAAATACCATAGCTTTCACAATGGTTTTCAATAAATAGATAAGAATAATTTTCTTTGGAAAGAATACAAACATAGCCTTCCATCAGTGGCGTAGCGAGTATAACTGGCACCCGGGGCAAAATACCTTTTTGGCGCCCCCCTCTCCCGAAAAAAAAAAAACAGTGATATGATGAAAATCTTGTTTGGAGACCATTTGGTGCCCCTCTGCGAGCGGCGCCCCGGGGCATCATACACCCCCTTGCCCCCCTCGCTACAACACTGCCTTCCATCCATTGCTTCTTTAAAAGCGATATTTTGCACAAAAACAAAACTGTCAAGTTGCAGATGATAATTTATACTTTCAAAAATATAGTTGTGGTTAAAAAATTCCAAGCAGTTACCCCCCCTTTTTTTTTAAGCAAAGCAAAATCATCTAAAAAGTGTGTGAATAGCCTGTCTTCCAGAGACCAGGAAAATTTGTATCAGTTTCTTTAAGATGACTCCTGTGAAAATGAAATCTTAGAAAAGATAACTGTGTAGGGCAAACTTAATACAACTATTAGAATTTGTTATAAAATATAGAGATTGAACTGTAGAGGAAAATATTTTGGGCAAATGAAATCCAAAGTTGAAGACAAAATGAAAGTTACAATCAGGAATGCATAAATTCATTTATGAAGCGCAGAAGTGACAACATCCTTATTTAACGTATACTTCACTGCTGAATGAGTAGCTGATCTGCACAGAATTTAAGATGAATCAGAAAAAGTATCATAAAGTCTTTTTCATCAAGGTGTGCATCAGCAGTTTGTAATAATTATATAAGGCAGACATTTGAAAGATACTTCCCTCATCCCATTTTGTACATGATTTGCCACATAATATGGACACGAGGTTCGATAACTTTTAGGCTAATGAAAGTGCCCCTTTCCCAGAGGATCTGAGCTCAGCTGTATATATTGTCTCTAGAATTGTTACAATTACTTAAGTAGTGAGGAACTATAACTAATTTGAGCCATTTGCTGTTTCACCTTAATATGGGGCATACTTAAGAATTTCATGGCTTAATCTTTGAGAAGCTAGAAAATTATTCCACATATCAAAGCTGTATAAATATTATTTAATAACATGAAGGAGAGCTGAAGGGCTGAAAACCTGTATTAGCCACCACAGAACTCTGATCTTCATATTACTGAACATGTGTAGGACTTTGTCCACCAAAACTGTGAAAATCCTAAACTACCTCTTATAAAAAGAATGAAAAATAAATTTCGAGAAAGATATATATCAAAGATTTCTTAGAAAAATATATTAAAATTAAGCTCTTTAATCCTAGATAAGCTGAGAGCTGTGATAAAAGCAACATCAGTTTCATCCCAAAGATGAATTTTTCTATTCCGTCTACACAAAACTTAAAATTTTCTTTTCTGACAGTTCAATGTAACTATTACCATTGTTTTTTAAATGAAGTAAATAAATATGTTATGCTAAAGATAACTTGTATTGCTGGCTGTTTCCTTTATAATCCCGAGAAATGTGGGGGGGGGGTGGCTATGCTTTAATATTTTTGTATGCTACTCTTTGGCCTTTGCTATATATTTTCATAATTAAGAAATATTTTGTATTGATTTCCTAATGGGCATTTGATTTGCATTTTCGTTCTGAAAGAGAAGCTGATCTTGATCAAAGGTGTGCTGTAAATGTAATTATTCTTTGGACTAACTGAAAGTTGTGCATGCCACAATCAAACACCTGTTGGCTTGGCTAGGGAAGTGGCACCATGCCCAACCACAATACACTGATTGAGGCTGTACTAATGTTAGCCGGGATCGTACTTTCGAGTGGTTCGATGGAATGGTTGGGAGGGTTAGCATTTTTCTGTCTAACCTAAACAAATAAACAAAAACAAAAAAAAAAAAAAAAGGAAGCCTCAGTGTTGCCTTGTGTATGTGTTATCTTACTAGACTTAAAATGATGAACTGAAATTTGCAATCGCCGAAACCCCGACGATGTCAGACTTTGTACTTTAACATATATCATTAGTACTTACTAAATGTGGCAATATAATTTTTTTTACATTACATAAATGTTAATATATGGTTTTTAAAAAGTTGATTTATGCCTTTTTCATAGGTTTAGTACAAAAAAAAATTTAGTAAAAGTTTGTTTTTAGAATTATGTTTTAGTCTTAATATTGTAAGGATTTTTTTTTTTTAATATAAATTTCTCTTGCCGTTGTCAGCAAAAAAAAAAGGGGGGAAAGAAAGCTTTCGGGAAGGGAGTTG